GCTGGAAACATACAGTAGCACAGAAAGAGAAAGAAACCTTTCTGAAGGAACAGGAAGTCAGTGCCCTAAGGCCCAGCTGGTTATGGGTTGGATATAGAAAGCAGAAGCTAGTAGAGAGAATGCTTTCTTAAGCAAAATTCCTGATACATGCAGGAAAAAAAATACAGTTCTTCCTGGAAAGGAAAGGGTTAAAGGAAGCACCATCTTTATAAAAGGCAAAACTGAATAGAATGCTCTTGTACATTTTTGGGTTTTGGATTTCTTTTGTAGCATTGAAAGGCTATTGTTCTTTCTACATGAGACATATATTGGACATATCATTCCCTGCTCACAGTTGTTTATAAATTATTTAGATGATATTGTGATGCTCCAGTTTCACTTTTATGTCTAAAAAGTACTTTCAGTGAGTTTTTTTTAAAGAAAGAAAACTATGATATTTATTGTAAAAGCAAAAGGATTTTTTCTCTTTTGTATTTGTGCTATTCTGTTATATCATAGTGCCACCTAGAGCTTAGGAAGTAGAAACCAGGAACTACATTTTGCAATAAAGCTAAAAGTAGATACTGCAGATTAAGAGGCAATTAACAGTCCTATTTAGAAAAGTTCTATGACTAGACTGCAATCACACACATACATTTTAGAACTCACCTCCTATAAGAAAGAATGGTTTCATCTGAAATATGTTCAGCAATTTTGTTTGACATTAAAATATTCTATGTGACTGCCCAGAGCTCATTTCCACTTTATTTGGGGAATTTATATTTTATTTGTATTCACGGTATTTTTATGCTTCTTTTCCACTGAGACCAAAATAAAACAATATACTACCATCAGATATGCTGAATTTCTATGCCTATCCATGATGACTTCACCTTTTTGCTTCTTTTCTAATCCTAGACCATGCCTATCTAAACTTACTTCCACTGGCTCTATAAAGTTACCACCACTCTGCCCCAGTATAATTTCTTCCCTAATTCCTTCTCTGTTCAAGATCTTTTAAATTTTTTATTCTTCAGTCTCTGTACCCAGAGCTCCTCGTTCTGCTACCTGTTGTCCTCTGCATTGATAAATTTGGTGGACCACCTGCCTGCCTTCGGCTTCACTTAGCCAGTAGTTAGCTGCTTGGACCCTGCTATTTATCCTTAAATCTGATCTACCCTTCTCTAGATCTGTGTACTCAAAACCCAACTCATTGATCTCCCCAGTACTCATGCCTTAACTGCTCCTGCATGTCAGCTTCTTTCTAAATTTCTACATCACATGACCCAACTTGTTCTTTTTCCCAGTCCTATGTCTTCTGGGCCCCTAGATCCTCTCCTGCTGCTGGACCCCACACAACTCTCTGGATGGTTGCCTCAATAAAGATTCTCTTACTTCCTACTCAGATTTGTTAAAATTAAGTATAGACTAGTGGACTAGGAGCTGGATCTATTTTCATATTGCTAGTGCATCCAGACTTAATCCATGGGACTTAAGTTAGTCTTCACTAAAGTGAAATCCCACAGATTTCAATGGGTCTTCTCTTAATAACTCTTCTGGATCTGCCCCTTGGATTCACAATAGAATTTATGGACCTGTTGTGGAATTGTGGCAAGAAGACCTCAAGTTAAAATTAAAATATGCAAGTTGTTTTGGTCTCAGCATTTTTTGCCTTTAGCGTCACCCACCACTGGATTGCAATCCCTGAAAGCTTCTCTAAAATAGAATTCAGCACTCAGGCATTAAGGGTACCATCCTGTAACAAAGGAATAAATGAATGTGCAGATTGATAGGCTAATTAATGTGAAACAGGGGAAAGCATGAGTGAGCAGAAGGACTGTCCTTTGTCTTTCAGCTACGCTGCACAAATACTGATGCCTCGCAATGCCAAATCTACTCTGCTGAAGGGGAATGATAGCTGAACATGTTTGCCTTTGCCTCAAAGCTAATATGCAGCATAGCTGAGTCGATAATGGCTTTTAACTTGCCTGTGTCAAAACACCTGCTCAATAACTCAGCCCTCTTAATCGGGCCTTCTACCATTTATAGCAATATAGTACTTCTGGTCTGAAAACAAAGCCTAATCCAATTCTCAGCCTCAGCCTTCCAGTGAAGACAGCTGCTTAGGAAAGCAATGTGTTAGAAAAAAACAAGGCAGCCTGCTGTCATTGTTGGCAGACCAATTCAAGTGCAATGGATTGTGCCTCAAAGCTTTTGTTGTTTCTGCAGAAGCTTTGAGAAGGACAACGTGTACGTGGAAGGGAAAGTATTGCTTGGAACTGCAACTGCATGAGAAGATGTGCTAGCACTGTGATGACAAGATAAAGAAATGCTGTGCTGTCATATCACATTCTCTCTACCAGACACCAGTTTTTAACTAACTAAATAGTGACTAAATAGTGACTAGTCACATTTTTCCATCTCAAGAAGTCATGAAGTCCAGTCCAGTCCAGTCCACCAGAGAGATTCCCTTTTGCCGCACCACATTTTTAATCTTTTTTTTTTAGCCAGAGAAAATTTATTAAGAATGATAAGAAAGAATAGCATCACAATGATCTAGTTCACACATAATACTAAACCGTGGTTAATTTCACCAATGACTTCTGCCCTTCCCAGGCTTGAATGCTTTGGAAAATCAGGTTATAAACAGAAGATGTTCTTTGGATACCATGTAAAATTTTTATGAATGAGGCAGGGCAATAGCACAACGAAAGTCACATCTGAAAACACCCTAAGGCTCAGATTCAAGAACAAATGAAGCCATTTCTTGCCTGTATTTTCAAAAATATTCTGCGTTCTATTCAAACCAACTCTCTGAAATGTTTAATCTTATAAATATACACAGTGGATGGAGTAATAGCCATGCAAACATAACACCAAATGAAACTTGAATTTAACCAGTTAAATTGCATTTTTTAATTTTTCTCCACAGTCACATTTCTTACGTGAGGTTACACTCATAGCAATACACATTTAACTAAGATTTGAGAAACTAGGCCACCACCACAAAATGTGTCCCATGGAAGATGTGGCTAGTTCTGTCATGGCTGTCAAGCTAGTCAAGAGGTTGGGAAACAGCAAGACTAGGGGCACTGAAGCAGAATTGGAAAGAGTTGCTTCTTGGGTTCTCCAGTCTTTGGTCCACATAGACCATTCCTCTTTCTTCCTCCACTCCCTCTACTCAGCTTCTAGTCTCAGTTATTCACTCTTTCCTAATTCCTAGCCTTGGTCTTTCTCTCCCACTCACATCTTTTCTCTTTACTTGCAGCCTCCAACCCCACTCTTTCTCTCCTTTCCCCTCTACACTTGTACTTTGCTTTCTATTCCTACCCACTGAACAACTGATCAGCAGCAAGTTCAGGAACAGAAAAGATATCCTGATATCCTGAATTTTTTCAATCTTATTTGTTAAAGGGGTAGAGTTAAGAGCTGTGTAAGTGCCATTGGAGATGCTCACTGGCATGTAAAGAACCCCCTAGAACAGGACTTAATCAGGATTGTGTTGCACAGTCACTTATTCACTTACTCCTTATTTCTTGACTCAGGAGTAACCACCTGAAACTGCAAACACCCCACCACACAATCTTTTAATAAAAACACTTAACACAAACCCATTATATCTAAGCAGTTTTAAGTTACATTCATGTCAGTAAGAAAGAATTAAGTGTGTGCTACAAAGAAATGAACAGGACATAGGGCAAAAAGTGTTCCCAAACAATTGTTCACTAAAATTCTGTGAATGCTGGGTCAGGTGGAGCACTTGTAAGGGAGAATCAGTGAAAGGAAGAACTAGGTATTCTTCTTGCACCTATTTATCCCCTGCTTTGTTAATGTGGACCCAAGACAGGCTTCCATCAAGTTTCAGAGTCTGGCTCTGTGCAACCTATTACAAACACGTGCATTTTACTAAGTTCGTCCTACCCTGCCATAAATCAGTTACAACCAATATGTTTCTTCATCTATTGTCAATGCACTAAGGGATCTATATATTCTTCAGCACCAGTTGGACTGAGTTGCCATGTGGCAAGGGATGGCAGCCAAGAATGTCCTTGAAAGCCATCTTTGGTGTGGGACAACAGAAGGCAGTGGTGGTAGTGGGCTTCTTATACAGAAGCAGACTTTGAAACTCTATTTGGCTGGCAGGCAGTATGTGTATTCTGTGAACTGCCAGGGTCTATAGTTGTGACCAATTTGGGGATTCATGTTCAGCACCATGAATAGTCCCTACAAAGCTCAAAATAAAATGGATGAGCACAACTGACATAGGAGTTCACCAGCCTCTTCTGAAAACCTAACATTGAAAAAGCTTCCAATATTCTCTACTCTAGCCCTAATTTTTCCATATACAATTTTAAAATCGTTACGCTTTTTAAAAAATTGGGCTGTTTTAAATACTACTTCCGAAGGGAAATTGCCCTCCCCAGCAAGTGGCCGTCACTTCTCCTTTCACCCAAAACCAGTGGCCTAATCGTGAAGCGATCTGCAACGGAAAATGTTCCCTTTTTCCCGCGTATTTCAAAGTTCAGTACAAGCTGCTGAAATTGTGACATTCGGAACGATATTTCTACCAGAGCCTTAACGCAACGCATCTTGAGGCTGCTTTTTAAAAACAGTGCAGAAATTTCACGGAATGAGAATAAAGGTGCTGCTGCCGCTGTTGCAAGAACTGGAGATTTTTTTCTTCCTACATAAAGGAAGCAACGCAGTCGGCAGTGGGGTACTCAGGGGTGGAAACGGCAACCCGCGGTAAGGTATTTAGAAGGACGCAAGTTCTGCTGACCACCCTGCAAGCGGCAAGGCCCCTTCGGACTCGCCCGGACATCCTTCGGGTGGGCGTGGCCCGAATGGCGGACGAGACGGAGGGAAAGAGAAGAGCTCGAGCAGGCCGAGCTGCCGCGCGGCAGACGCCACGACGTCAGCCGCATGCGCGCAGCATCCCGCTGCCACCCCACCTTTCAACACTGATTGGTCGTTGCCCATCGATCGTTGCCCGGTCATGGGGCGGCGAACGTTTCCGTCGCCGGTTTGTGACGTATTAGGTAGGTGCCGAGGCGTCCGGCGGTCGGCCGGGCAGGTTGTGAGAGATGGCGGAGTATCTGGCCTCCATCTTCGGAACCGAAAAAGACAAGTGAGTGGGTTCTTTCCCGCGTCTCCCGAGCATCGGTTCTGGCCTGGATAAATGCTTCTCGCAGTTAATGAGGGAGGGTGGCAGGGTCAGTGCCGGCGCCTTGGCGGGACCGTTCCAAACAATGGCCTCACACGAGGAGCCTTTTTTCCTTTCTCTCGCTGCTCTGCGCTCGTGCGCGCGCCCTCTTCCTAGCGGTAGAGGCCCCAAGCGCGCGAAACCTTCACCCCTTCTTCCGTTGTTGGCGAGGGCTGCCTCGTGCAAGCCCGAGACGGCCTCTGGATGGGAGCCTGTTGCCGCGCGGGCGCGCGCTTCCCCGCATGTGTCTGAAGGGAGAGCGCGCGGCGCCAGTCGCGCGGGCACGCGCACTTCTTCCGGAAAAGAGGCGCCGAGGGCGGGCTGGCGACCGCGAGAAGTTCTTCGAGCCGCTTTTCTCTCCCCTCGCCCTCGTGAAGTGCAGTGCGGCACAGGAGAAGAGTATCAGTGGGAAATTATAATCAGGGTGGCATAATTTTGGATGTTGATTCTTCATCTCGTAACTTCGAAATTCCAAATGAAAACCTTGGTGGGAGAAATCTTACCCATGGGACCTTCCTATACCTCCACGCGCACCTCAAACCCCCCCCCCCCGGCAAGCTTAGCAACTTCCCTGTAGCATATTTCACTTTTTTCAAGCGGAAAATAAGAACTTAAACTTTTCGCTCTGTAAGGGGCTTTTTGCGGACTTTTAATGAACCTTTTGAGACTTTTGAAATCTCTTTTAAAAGTTTAAGTGCTGTTCTTACTGATTTAATATGCAGTGATATTTTTCTTATAATTTTAGCTGAAATTTTATATTTGTATAATTATGTGCACTCTGTATAAATGTACAGTAGAGAACTTTATGTGATAGTAGAATGATACTGATAAATGAATAAATTGGTTACTACCTCAATAAAGGTATTCAAGGTGAGGTGTGTAAATGTTCAAACAGGTATTTTAAACTTTTTGGTAAAACACAACAGCAACAGACAGTAAAGGCAGATACCAGAAAAAACCCAATTATGGAGTCTTGCAGCCCTTGTATATGAGTGTTATTTTCCTCTGCACTAACCTGCAGCAGTAACAGGACGTAAGCAAGCCACAATCTATTTAAAGTAAAGACACTCCTGCTGCACTTCACAAATTTAGTTGCTGATGGGGAAGATGCAGTAGACCTAAATACTCATTTTCCCTAATGGGGCTAAGGCACAGTAAAGCAGTGAAAACCTGCTGTTTTGGTCATCCAGCCAGGTTGCTGTCTTTCACACCGCCTCTGTATGGGTGGTGAAAACAGTATTTTCTAATCATAATCTCTTTTGCTTCCTCTGCTCCCCAGGCATATAAGTCTGTCATACCAAAAACAATTCCCTTCGTCCCTCCAAAAAACAAAACCTCGTAGCTCATAGGCTTTTCTACTGAGTTGCCCCAGCAGCCCTCCCTGCATCTCTTGGACGAACTGAAAAGGAGGACCCTATATATGTTACTCCAACCCAAATGCTATAAGTGCTGCTACTGTGGAACATGGGGTAGACAAGTTGTGACTCCCAAATATGTTGACCAACTAGTCCCATTGGCTGCTCAGAGAATACATAGGTGGCTTTTAAACAAATAATCCCTTAGCATTAGTTAGGCCTGATGAGAATTTTAGGCTAAAAAGCAGAAGTGCTGTAAGTTGACCATTCATGTAATTAATGAACAGAATTATTGTTTGCACTTAGTTAAAGCAACAGCGAAACAAAAGCATCCTCGAGGATATTCTCACTCGTACTCTTGCTTAAGATAGTTGGCTGCATTAGAAACCGCCCTCTGTGCTTCCCAAGCTAGTATTGCCTTGCAACACCAAAATGCAAAAAGTCTTTCATTTGCAAATATGCTCTTAATTCTCATATATGCAGGGATCTTTGCACATGCAGCAATTATGATGTGCATCTGTATCCATGCCTAAGGAAGGATTGTGAAAAGCAAAACTGAACTTGATTATTGCAGGCTTGAGTTTGTGAACAAGGCCACAGCCTGTTTGCATCAAAACGGTGAATGACAGTTGTTTCATTTATTTGATTTTTATACTGTCCAGTAGCCAGAAGGTTCTAATCTTCAGCCAGCTTTTTCTCTTGCTAGTTACGGGAGTGTTCAAGCATAGATGGAAAAAAGCAAAAGCAGTTGATGTGATAATATTTTGGTAGAATTACTAAAAATTATATATTGGGGAGAAATACTTTGTTGCCTGGAATAATTAAAACATGCTTTTGATTCAAGCAACATTTATTTAAGAAATAAGCATTTTACACTATTTTCCCTGAAATATGCATTAAACATTATGTTCCTCTAGGAGCAGCCAAGCATTCTATTGTACAAATTACTGAATGGCCTCTTTAATTTTATTATGAAGCCGTATGAGTTTAGTACATAACTGCAGCCATCAAAAATATTATTTGTTAGTGTGTTGGGATTTTGTATTTCACAAATAGTACATCGAACTTGGAGACTTCCAGACATCCAGGTTCAGTTGTGGCTGGGAGGAGCATGGCAGGTGTCAGATGGACTTCTGAGCCCATCTAGTGAGGATACTGTGAAGGGAAGGAGGCCAGAGAGGCCTCTGGATAACTCATATTCTGCCCTATCCAGTTTCCTCCCTGCTCACCAGAACTACCCCTTTTTTATTCCTTCAAGGTTGCTTTTCCAGCCTTTAAGATACCGTGGTTCTCAGCATTGGCTTTGGAGATGGATGCAAGTTTGCAGTACTGTTTCCAACCTGGAAGGATTCCAAGCAGTCCTACATTTCTTTGAATGCTTGACCAGGGACTATAGGATTGTTGTCTTAGATATTTTTAATGGTATAAAAAGCAAATATAATACTTTGTTGAAATAATACATTTTGTGTGACAACTTTAGCACTTCATGAAATACTTCTGTACTTTAGTGGGAGAGTTTCTGAAGCATATATAATTTTCATTCTTGAATGTATTCTGATTATTCCTGTGGTATGTTTCTTATGACACATGAAACCCACTGTTCCTGGTTACCAAATGATTTGGAGAGTGTTACATATTTCATGAGCATGTGATATAGCACAAAGTACAAGATGTGCTCTGGCTTTGAATATGGTGTCCTTTGCTTCTAATTCTCATTAATACGTTTATCAGTAACATCATAGTTAAATATTTTGCACAGCATGCTTGTTCAGTTCATTTTTTCTACCAGTTTGATATATACATGATTTTGTTGGTTTTTTGCTTTCAGAGTCAACTGTTCTTTTTATTTCAAAATTGGAGCATGCCGCCATGGAGACCGATGTTCTCGATTGCACAACAAACCAACTTTTAGCCAGGTTTGTGTTTTTTTGTTTTTGCTTTTTGCAGAACTTTCACATACATTCATCAATGTAGCCATTACTTTCAGAGCTTCAGATCTATGAATACAAAATTGCAGAACATATATGTTCTTGCATTTCCTTTTATTTTTTCTCATCAGTCCCTTTAAGTTATTGTTTTCATTTGTAATTATTAAAATAAATGTTTCATAAATTTTGCCAATACTAGATGTCAGCCAGTGGTAACCTTCAGGGTGATATTTGGCATAGAAAACGGTCATTTTAAAAAACCTGGCTCAAATATACAAGTTTTCTAACTAGTCCAAAATTGCCTTTGGCTTTTGCCAGGTAAAATTTCTGTGAAATAGCAAAATGTACAAATTCCTATACTCCAAGAAAAGCTGGCATTTGCAAATACTTCATTTCACCAGATGTAAGAGGTATGAACTATGACGTGTGGTATACCCATCAAGCCCTATTGAGTAAAGGTCTCTGCAGCAGTGCCTTGTGATAGTGTTTAATTATGCTTATAGCAGCGTAATTAGTTTTAACACAGTTAAAATAACATGCATAGCCTAGCATGTTCACATTTAAACTGGGTGTGATGATCAAGTTAGTGTTGTTTCCAGTACCGTACACATCTTACCATCATATGTTTATCTTACCTTATTAAACACTGAATTGCTTTCTTAAATATGCACACTATCTTACATCTTCCCTTTTTATTTAAATTGCAAAAGTATGTTTGCAATTTAAATACAAACATACTTTTTTAAAATTCTCAAATACTTTCACCTGATAGGAAGGGAAATCTTATGGAGGTTTCTGTGGTGAAGGAGCCACCTTTTTCTAAGCTATATTGGCTCAGACCAACCAAGGCTGCCCTCCCTCTTCCAGGTTCTTAAAAAAAAATCCTACCATTGACAGAAATTGGAGAGGATTTCATTATGCCACCTTCAAGGCTGGCGTAGATTTTACAATAGAGTTTGAGGAAGTGGGTGGGCTTAGATTCAGCAGATTCATGGCCTGCTCTGTTCCATCCTTGGGACACTTTTGAGACACCATTTCACCCTGTTGTTGGAAGGTACATCTGTACTGGTGGAACTGCAATTCTAGAACATCCTATTTAAGGCCTGTTGATGGTCTGTAGGAATGCAGCCTTAAGGTATAATACTTGAGGTATAAAAAGAACCCGTAAAGGATAATGTTTACATTGGCAGATGTACAAGGCAAAACCCCCTCTTACTACTCAATTAGCTAACACTGAACATTCATTTAAATTTAGTAGAATAAACTTAATTTTATTTTTTAATGTTTATATTCTTTCCAATAACAAAAGCTATGCAGGCAGTTCATACATAACAAACTGAACCATAAACTACAATATGAAAGTAAAACAGCAGCAGACTAAAAGCAGCTTTACAGAATAATATGAGTCCGGCAGATCTGAAAAGTAGTTTAGCAAGTATGATTGAAAAGCCTGGAATAAAATATATGTATTAATATAGCATGAAAGTACTGTAATGTGGGTACCAAGTGAGCCTCCCTGGAAAGGTTTTTATAACTCTGGAACTGCAACTGAAAAAGCACTCTAGTAGCCATCTGCCAGACCTTAATTTGTAGGAATATTACGCACTTTTTATTGTGAAAGGAAACAGTTCTTCAAGTTTCCTGGCTCCAAGCCATTTAGAACTTTAAAGATTAATAGAAGAACTTTAAATTGGGCCTGGAAAGGGATGGAAGCCAGTTCTGGCATTGGCAAAGCATTTGTGTAATATGATCATATCCTCCATCTTTAAAATCTTTGTTGCCCTATTTTGGATCAGCCAGATTTCTCATTTCAAAGACATCCCCACATTTAATGCATTCCAATTTTTTTTCCTGAGAAATAGAGATTAACAAATTTAAAGCAATTCTTAATGAGTTATATTTTCAGCCTTGCACATGTATCTTAATAATGTTTTTAATGTTGATAAATCACTAATATAATAGTATATAAAGTTGTGCTGGTGCCAGGAATTTAGATATTTTGACCTGAATATTTATATAGTAAGGCAGAAGTTCAGTCAGTAATAATACTTGCAATTTAACATTTATATGAACAGCAGATGGAATGATTGTCTTCAGTAATTTTTTGTGCCTTTACAGTTCAGTCAAGGGCATTATGCTTGTGACTGTAAGATTTTTTGTAAAGATATTATTGAAATTTTTATAGTATTATCAAGGGGATGTCCATATCAGCAGTTATGATTAATAGAATGTTTAAGATTCTATTAATGGTAATCCAGAATATATTATACATTGAGGGCTTTTACTGGTATCTGTTAAGATCACTAACAGTTGCTAGATGTGGAGGTAAATCTGTATCTTGCATTTTAACTAAAATAATTTTCAAATCTCTTACTCATTCATATGTATCAAAACAATAGTTAGAGTATTAGTTAACAATCTAATTTGATACCCAGAAATAAGTAGTTTAGGATAATTCTATCCAACATAATTAAAAATAAATGGTTTGATTTATTTGGCTGTGGTATAAGATGTTGGATACAGAACAAACAATGATTATAATTTGTGTTTTTACTGCCACTGCAGAAATCACGTTACTTGAACAAAATGTTTTAAAAGAGTACAATGTAGTTTCTTGCCAGCGTGCACAAAAATAGGATATTGTTGGTAAGAATCAGTTACAAGCATTGATTTGAGATAGTCTAGATAACAGTCAGAAAACATAGATATATTTTTCCTTTATTGTGGATATGGACCAGGGGTTAACACTGGCTGGTTTTATAATAAGAAATAAGCTCTGGAAATGCAGCAGAGTATATTCAGTTTGAATGAAAACTCATACAAACTAACATTTTAATTAAGTAACATTGAGCTACTTACACTAATATGGACATTACAACTCTGAGATGTTAGATTACTAACTTAAACATGGTTTGTTTTTTCAGACAACTTGATATTAAGAAGAACGGTACAAATGTAAGGTTTCAAGTCTGCCTGGGCAAATTCTTCAAGTAGAAAGCACAAAGGCTGAAAGGATATTTTTTCATTAAAGCTCTGCAAAAAGTGAACATTTAGAAACTCATATTATTTAAACAGAAATTCCACCAATAAAATGCTTGATAAGAGAAAGTAGAGAGACTCCTTGTGGCAGAGGCCTTTTGATAAAATTGCACTCCATAATGTGGGCACAGTGCAGTACCTTTTTATGATTCCCTTTAAAATTAGATGAAAATAGACTTTTGCATACTGCATAATGAAATTACCAAGATTTATACGGCTGATTCCATTTTTAGGACCTGAGCTGAGAATAACTCCTTAGATCAGTGCATAGAGCAGCTTCTTGGTGAAATTAATAACTGTTTTAATAATATGAATGTTTGAATTGTGTATCAAAAACCTGATGCAAATACAGAAGAAAGTAGCATACCATCTCAAATGAATATTATATTAAGCTGTTCGCAAAAAAAAGTTGTCTCTTTGCAATTGTCTGTTATATGCACAGCAGCCAGTAGAATTCCCCTTTTTATTTTTTTTTCCCCGCAGACCATCTTGATTCAAAACATCTATCGTAATCCCCAAAACAGTGCACAGACGGCTGACGGCTCACACTGTAAGTCCCACAGTTGGAGAAATTTTTTTAAAGAATGGTGTTAAAGAGCCCATTCCTAAATATGAGAAAATCATGTTGGCTTCTGAGCTGCTGACATAAAGCTGTTGCAAACAGGACAAGTGACGGAACTCTTAACTATTAATCAAGAATTTGTTAAATGCCTAAGTATGTGCCAAAAGAATGGAAATTAATAAGGATAAACTGATCGGATATTTTTTTGTTCAGAGCCTGCTCTGTGAGGTCATGAACATCACTTTTTGTTCTGTTTAACAGGAAGCGTAAGGCATTTATCAAATATCTTGGTATTTTTTTATCTGAAAGCTTAGGCAGTTTTGCCATGTACGGTAAGTGAAATTTGTGTTTTGTTTCACCTTAACATTTCTAGGCAATAGAGATTTCATGACTACCTTATTATTGTGTGTGACAATAGAATCTAGTTCCTGACAATTTCTTAACTTTTCCATCTATTATAATTTGATGGTTTCAAGTTCAAGATTTATTAGATTCAAGTATCATTTGTTGCATTTAAAATAACGTCAATAATAAGTGTTGTGAGATCTCTATTTTTCTGATGTTATGGTGGTCCAGAAGGGTCACAAATTAAATGACACATATTTCTCTCGTGGGAGAAAATAACATTCTCTCTTTCAGCACTGAGACTCAAAGTGATCACCACAAGGAAACCAGTTTCTTGTTAAACTTATTTTCCATAATATAAAGTTGTTGCGTTTTGTATTTCAGACCATTGCCCTCTTGAACATTTACCGTAACCCTCAAAACTCTTCCCAGTCTGCTGACGGTTTGCGCTGTAAGTTCATACAAGTTCCTTCACTGGTTCCCTGGGCTTGATTGTCAGAGCTCAGTGTCAACTGAAGCTGGTCTACCATTTTTAGTTTAATGGAGCAAACTGACCACATTTTATTAACTATGCCTGAAGAATTTTTTGTCCTTCTCATACCTCATGCCCCCAAGAAATTTTGTTTCCTCTGAAAATTTGGCTGCCTGCCCATTTTATATGTATTTTTTAAAGGACCAATTTTAAAAGCATCTTTGAGCCTTTGCTCTCTTTGCCCTATCTTTACCACTGGCCTCAACCATTTCAGTGTGTTCTTGATTTGTTTAACGGTACACATCGCTGTTATTCAAAGACTAGATCAACAGCATATTAATTTAACACAAAAACCTTTCCATCTGTTTGTAGATGTTTAAATCACTTTAATTTGATCTCTTTGCATAGGTACACTTAAAATTACTTCCTTGCTTTAAAATCTGAAAATTTGAACTGATATGTTGTTTATGGGAAAGTGTGGAGATTGTCTTGAACTAATTCTTAACACTTGTGTAGTTATGACATGTGAAAATCTACTTGTCTACTGTACATCAGTAGAAGTAAGTGATTTGAAAGGGTAAATAATTGAGCTAATCTGTGATATGCTCTTGAAGCAGTTAAACAATGCAATATTAAGGGAATTTATAATTAAGCACAGTCTGCTGTTTCCATTTGCACTGCTATAGAATATATATGTGATATCTGGCATGTGCTAAATTTTCCACCTACCTGGTAATTCATATATAAACTGCATGGTCTGCTGTGAAGCTGGTCATATCTTATTGGTCCAGAGCTTACTGACTGAATGAGCATAATTACAGCAGCAAATCTCTTCAAATATTGATTTAAAAGTTCACATGTAGTATTTAAAATTTGGAGTCAATCTGGTAATTATGCTGAACAGATCAACAGCTTTTTGCTGTTTTAAGTATTGCATGGTTTGGTATAAACAGTTTAGCTAGTATTTACATTGTTTAACTATTCTACTCCCCATTGATGTCATATGATGGCACCAGTTGTGTTTAGTAGTAGTCCTCTGATGGTGTACTCTTTCAGCCTAGTGGAACACCATCACTTAATTTGGTTTGTTTAGTATTACCTTTCACAAAAAATAATTTTCTACAAGTTTAGAAAATTCACATATGGCAACAATTGATACTTTGTGAAAACCTAGACTCTTAAAAAATTGTTGGTAATGTACTATTATTATTATAGTATGATGATGATGGTTACTATTATAGTATGAGAAGGTAGATGACTCTTAAGCTATCTAGCATAATTAGGTAGTATATTTGGGACAGATAAATGCATTGTTAATAAGCTTATGATGCATTTTAAAGGGGATTACACACTGAAATCTCTCTTTGTCAAAGTTTAGCATTTATTATGATGTGTTCTTGTAATATTAATGTAGAAACAAAAGTATAGTCATAACTTCATTATCAGAGTGGGAAACTGATATTAAAATTGTCAGTTTTTAATTTTCAATGAGTTTGACTGTCATTGAATATTTCAGATGTACTTGGGAAACTAAATTTATTTGAAAGGGTAAAATGCTTTCTGTGTGCAACAAAATATGCTTTAAAGTTGTTCCATTTGATCAGTCCACTGAGGATCAGATGGATATAAATTGATCTAGGTTTAAGTCATGTGCTAAAATGCTGTAGAGCCATCAGTTTTTGCCATGCATATTGTTTGAATATATAGTTACAGCTCTCATCTACCTGTATAAGAAAAGGTGAATGAGTTGCCTGCAGTGCCAGATTAAGGGCATGGAAATAATATAGCATGACCTGCTTTAACTGCTCTGAAGAATGTGAAAGACTGAATAGATTTTGGCGCAAAATTGGGTTTCCCCCATCAGTAATCCTAGTTCTTCCAACTGAAGTAATGAAAAATATATTAGCTTAATAATTGTGTTCATTAAATTGTATGGATTGGGAGCAGTTGTAATTATATTGGCAAATTTGTAGATTATTTGCTTTTAGAAATAATTCCCTTCCAGAAGATTGCATTTCTTTATATTTGAGTTGTAGCAAACATTCTTCAAAGGCTGTTACGAAAACCTGCTACGTTAAAATTTAGACATTTATAGCTAAGGGTTTGTATTCTATGAAAGGTCAGCTTCCTTAGATTTAATGTAGGTTCTCCATGAAAGTTGCCATTGAGTTACTGATTAAAACTTGAAGAGATTGCTGTGATTTCTTTTCTTTAGGGACTTGGAGAACTGCTCATGGTTTATTCCTAATGGTTAGCTATATGTTAAAACATTTTTTACTCCAGTAGACGGCTTCTACTGACATTTCTCTAAAAAGATTTTATAATGTGCTCAAAGTCCTTTCTATAGTTAGAAAATGGGATCTAATTAATATGACTTGGTATTTGCAGGTGCTGTGAGCGATGTTGAAATGCAGGAACATTATGATGAATTCTTTGAGGTATGTTAAACTGAATAATGCTTTGAATGCTTATGTTACTGAACACTGAGCACAGTTGATAGTTGAAATGATAAACTTGAAGTTTTTCATGGGGCAAAAGAGAACCAAAAATACATCAAATATTCTTCTATAGCAGCAGAGGGCATTTGAGATACTTGTATTGAGAGTGTTTGCCTGAATCAAGTAACAGTACCAAATAAGCATTCCCCTGAATAAGTAGATTACTGAAAAGCATAATCAGTTAGACTGAGTTGTTGAAATGGTCACACTGGCTTTAGTGGGAGGTGCTAGTTCACTGGAGTTGAGTTCTATTGGTTTCAGTGGGAACTAGGTGAAACTGACTTGAACTAGATCCAAACCAATGGATATTTTTTCCAGTTTTGTTTAATTGTAATTTAAGAGTAGTTGCACTTTTAATTAACAAAGCCATTGCCAAATTTTATGTAGCCAAAGAAACAGGGCCAGAAAATGGAGTTTGAATAGTCTATATGGTTGCTTTTGCATCTAGTTGAAATACTAACAATGATTGCTTTTCTCATTCAGGAGGTCTTTACAGAAATGGAAGAAAAATATGGTGAAGTAGAAGAGATGAATGTCTGTGATAACCTTGGAGATCATCTGGTTGGAAACGTATATGTAAAGGTAAGATATAAAAACAATTCTAGATGCTCTGTTCAAAATGCAAATACCCTTTAATGTTCTGTTTTCTACATTTGAAAAGGAAATAGCAAATACTTGACTATTTCTAAAGGCTGGTCTAATCAGCCCAAAAAGAAATATAAATGAAGAAATATGAACAACATGAAATACAATCTCTTCTTATTTTAAGCTTCAGTTTCTGCCTATTTATTTATGTTTTTATAGACTGCCACAATAGCCACATGGATCTCTGGATGGTTTACACAGTTGAAAACTCAGCAAAACATAAAACCAACATATTAACAAATTTAATAATAAAACATTAATACCAATAAGCATCCACTCCAATAGCAGGGGCACAAACCTGTGACATCATATACTAACAGATTGGATAGCATCTTATTAAAATGTATCAATTAAGGTAACCTGAAATTAAAATTAAATTAGTATTAAAACTGTCAACAATTAAAATACTCAGAAAATTAAAAAAGTCTTTGCCTGGCACCAAAATGTGGACAAAGAAGGCACCTGGCACACATCTTTTATATGAGATCACATATGCCACATGTTTGGATGTTGAATGCTAAATTGTAGAGTGCTTCCATTATTTTATTTTATTTATTTTTATTTATTTATTAAAACATTTCTATGTCGCCCCTTGCCGAGGCCAGCAAGGGAGAGGCATATGTGGAACCATTGTCAGATTGGAGTTCATGTGTAGATCCCAGGACTAGATTCCATGCTGGAGATTTTTCATATGTGTCTTTATCCAGTTTCCAAGTGGCTAATACATACATAGCACAAAATTGTGTGTGACTATTTACTTATTCATTGCATTTATATCCTGTCTTTCTTCTTCTGAGGACCTAAGCTGGATAGCATAATCTTTTCTTCCTCCCAATTTTATCTTCATGACAACAACTCTGTGAGAGTTAGGTTAAGCAGAGAGTCAGTGAATGGCCCGACACCATACATTGAGCTTCACAGCTAAGTTGGGACTAGAACTCATAGGTCAGCAGTCTTAACCACTACTCCATATGGGCATTGTGTGGAACTACTCTTCATTACATCTAGTGCGAACCATTTTACTATCAATATAAATTACCAGAATTATATACTTAACAGGCACTGAAACTACTTAAAGTGATTAAAAGTGTGTTCTAGATTTTCCCTACAAATGCCCTTGTGAGGAAGGTGTATTTACACACACATACACCTCAAGAAGAACGATATCCTTGTGAAGTTTAAAACTTCAACTACATAAAGGCATTTAAAAAGCAAAAGAAATATCTACCAATGTTTTGTTTAATAGTCTATGGACTGATGCGGTTAAACATGACTCAGTTTTCAGCCATCTGCTCAGGGGAAGGGTTTTTTCAGATCTTTATATTGTTGGGAGAAGGGAATGTCTTCCAATCCAGCCTATCTTTGAAAGTGTTCTCTTCCACACCTAGGAAATTCTGCATATTGCTGCTGCATTGTGGGACTACTACTGCTCAGGCATAATTTTCCTATTCTTTTTCTGTGCCCATCACAGTATTTTGAGTAGGTTAGTGTTGTTACAGGCCATTGTTAAATTGTCTATTTTAAAAGTCAACCGAGGTAAAATAATATTCTTTTTCCTTACTGTAATCAGCTAATACTTTTATATGGACAAAATATTTCTGATTAGTTCTAACCCTAAATATCTCTTAATTCTAAAAATGAGGTCATGTTCTGAAAGAATTTTGCCTTTACCTATTCTGTGCAGATATTGTTCATGGAAAAAAATACTGAATTTCTTGACACTGGTCCTCTTGCCAGATCTTGTCTAAGAACATGCATTTTTTACTTGTTTAAGAGAGCCACTTACTGAAGGAATAAAGTATTTGCAATGGATAATTTATTCCTCAGCTTGTGTTAGCCACAAAATCTATAGGGCTTGGACAGAGTCAAATACTTGTATTGTGGCTGCATGTTGAGTAGAAGTAATTAACTGAAATTCCAGTCAGACTTCATGAATGAATGAGAACTACCTGATAGATAATCACTTTCCTTTTTTTCTAGAAATTCTGCATTTTTCATTTTATACCTAGGTAGTTGTACTATAGGTAATTTAGCCTCAGGTATTATATTTTCCATGGCATTCTGCATTCCATAGATTTAAGTATTTTTAAGCTGGTTCTTTTCCTTATTTCTTAACAAAAACTTGTCCCATGCCTATCCTTAATAAGTAAAAAGCAGCAAACAGCAAAAAGGGGATATAAAATGCAGTGGCTTGTATCCTTCCTCTGATGAAAGGCCATTTGATCCAGTGTAGGCTTCTTTATGTGGAAATTGGAAGGTTCGGGTGATTTTTGCAAATTCGTCTTCCCATAGCTCCAGTGCAACCTCCCATATGGTTCCAGACAGCCCTCTAACTTTCTGGGACAGATAGTGGCATGGGAAGGCAGACAAAGAGAGAAGGCAGAAGCGCTGAAAATTAATGCCTTTTTCCTTCCCCCTTTTGCCTGCATGAAAACTTCCAGTGCACCAAAGAGTAGAGAGTACACAGTTGCTTTTATTGGGATGTATGCAGTCTCAAAATAAAAAGAAGCAGATTAAAATAATCAGTTACAAAGACTAAAATCATGAAGAGGGGTAGTAGTGTAATTCTGGACACGCTTACTTAGATGTAAGTCCCAGAGTAGTACCAAGGTAAGTGTGTTTGAGATTGCAGCCTGAGTTACAACAACTCTACTGACATTCACTAATTTCCTTTGTAATCATCAGTTCGATATTTGAAAAGTAGAGAGTTTTGGCTTTTGAGTATATAGCAATGTAATAAATGAAGGGAGAAATAAGTGAAAAGCATCCTTGAGGATTAGCAAAAAAATTACCAAGCATAGTACACTTTAAAGACTAGCTGTTATGTTGCAGTGCAAGGCTGTCAAGGAGCAAAGCAGGTTTCCTAAGGCAAGGAGTTCCACAGCCTGAATGCAGCCATAAAAGAAGGCCCTTGCCTTTTTCAAACATTAATATGCTCATAGGTTGGTCAAAACTTTTATTAATTCCTTGGTTCATGACTTTGGGAAAGTCTAGTTTCCCAAAACTTAGTTTAGTTTTTCAGGCTTTCCATAGATTTTAATAGAGTATTCATAAATGTATTGCTGTGCTGCTTGTGCCTTTTGTTTTTTAATCTGTGTGTAGTTTTTAGTTTATACTATGTAAAATGGATCTTATCTATACTTATAAAAACTTATGAAGTGGATTCCTCGTTTTGTTGTTGGTACTCAACATCAATTCATTTCTAGATAATACATTAAGTAGAAACTTCATTTTGTCAACAAACTTTTTCAGTTTCGACGTGAAGAAGATGCAGAAAAGGCTGTGATTGACCTGAACAACCGGTGGTTTAATGGGCAGCCAATTCATGCTGAGCTTTCTCCTGTGACAGATTTCAGAGAAGCTTGCTGCCGCCAGTATGAAATGGGGTAATTAAACTGTCTTCTACAGTCTTGCTTTTTCAATTTTCTTAGAAATGCTTTTATGTGATAATGAATACCAACTGACATCAAGAAACAAACTGGATAATATTCTCTTAATCATAACCTGTATAATTCCTTTTTCCAGGGAGTGTACACGAGGAGGTTTCTGTAACTTTATGCATTTGAAACCCATTTCTCGAGAATTACGACGTGAACTGTATGGCCGCCGCCGTAAGAAGTAAGTATCTCAGTTTTGTGAAGGGAGAACTTGTAAATAAGTTATTGGAGTACTACTGATTTTGATTTGTCATATTGTATAAAGTTGAAAAGTGATGGATGGCAAAACAAGCAGTTAATGGGTAGGTTACTTCACATCCTATTTCACTTGATAATGAATAAATGCAACTATGTCTAAGGTGGGCTGTTGGGTCTGAAATACATTTCTGCTATCACATTGCTGATGAAATTCTCAGTAGCCAATAATGAGTTTCCGTAGCTTTTGGATACAACAGCATAAATATATGCTAGAAAGCTGAAACTGACTGTAGGTGTTAATAAGATGAGCCATTGATCTTTGTTAACTTTGTTGATAGAATGTCTGGTACAGTGCATCTTTAGTCTATTGTACAGACTGAGGGGAGACAAGAAAGACTATAAGAAATTTTGCAATAGTAGGATCATACTAACTGCTCTGTACTTCCATGGTACTTAGCCATGCTAGGAAGATCCATTGAAATAAAAACTGCTTCCTTCCAGGAAAAAAACTGTCTAGGATCAGGATATTGGTCTTGCTCCTTACTCTCACAGGTCTAGCTATTTCCTCATGCCACTTCAAATAAAAATGCAATCCTCTTTTATCATCAAAAAGTTAGTCATCCCATTGAAGTTCTTGGACTGTCGCCAAGAGAAAATCCCACATCTTCTCCATAATATAGGAGGTAGCCATGTTTCTGTTTTTCAAGTTTAGCATACCCATGGCAATAAAAACATGTCAGACATCCCATGCCCCGAAAATGCTTTGGGGCAGGGGGTGCTGTGTATATTAGGATTATGCCAGAACTTGCTGGACTGTATTTAGTGTAGTAGTACTATAATTGGAAGTGGTTCATCAGTCACTACATGTTTTTACTTAGCTTCATAAAATAGCCATCTCTAAGAGACTATTCGTACATTGATTTTAGGAGCTCCATGCAAGTGTTTTACTTGTGTAAGTAATGTAAAATTGGAGAAGAATGTTACAAAAAAAAGAACATGAATTCTTCATTTTTCTTGCATCCTGTTCATGGAAGGAAGGATCATATGCACCCTTCCCTTATTACACAACATACAAGTAGTAAGTTGCTAAATTAGGCAGGTGCCAACTTTTCTGGGGGTCTGACACCTAACTCTGCCATCTTCAGAGATCTGGAAGAGAGGGCAAATACTAGCCAGGACCAGTTTTTTGGTATTTAAGATTACTGACAAAAAATAGGGCAGTACCACTCGCCATACTCATGAACAAATTGCATTGTATAACATTCTTCAGTCTTTTAAAATGTCCTGCATCTGAGCATTTTTTGTTTCTGTACTCTTAACAGGTTGTTTAAGGAGAAATCTGGAATTGTTCTTCAGCTTTCATTTTTGTTTTTAACAGGCATAGATCTAGGTCAAGGTCCCGTGAGCGTCGTTCTAGATCCAGAGATCGTGGTCGTGGAGGAGGAGGTGGTGGAGGTGGAGGAGGTGGAGGCCGAGAGCGTGATAGAAGGCGGTCAAGAGATCGTGAAAGATCTGGACGATTCTGAGCCATGCTGTTTCTACCTTGTCTGTTAGAAAGTGTTGTAGTTGATTGACCAAACAAGTTCATAATGGAAATTTTTTAAAAAGATGGGCTTCTGAATAAAAATTTGTAGTGATACAGTTTTCTTTGCGTAACTGATTTCTTAATGAAAAAATATCCCTTTATCATTTTTCTGACCTTGATGGATGATTGGGGTAATAATTGCAATGTACTGCAGATGAGCTGGTTTTTACATCTGGATGTGGATGAAACAGTTAGTGTATATAATATATTAAAACATTATATACATTAAAATATTATATACATTAAATATGCTTAAGCAGTTACTTGTTTAAGTTTCCCTCTTCTGTTATGCTATTTGCTTATTTAGGCTAGCTTAGGCACATCTAAAAGATAGCTGTGCAAAGAGCATTTCTTTATTCAGTCAAAAGGCTTAGTTGCATTACCTGTATGTTTCTTTGTTACTAAGAAATCTGTGCTCTGTGAATGTGGCATTTCCAATAAATCCAATTTTTGAATTAAAAATTTAAAGCCTATTCTCTAAGCACCCTTCAGTAGTTGCTGCTGCCACCTGTGCCAAAATTCATAGGGTTTTTTTTTTTATTAAAGCTCGTTTGGGGGAGGGGATTGGGGGGGTCTGTCTTGCAAGGAGTTTTAACCTGATGTTAAAAGTTTTACTTGAAGCAAATTGCCTTGCAGTGGTAGTGTGTGGATTCTTAGGCCAGTCCTAGAAGTCTCCAAGGGTTACTAGTTCACCTGCACTGCATGCTGCCTCATTTTATTTATGAACTTGTATACAGCTCTTCAATCACTTTGTTTCCAGAGTGAAACAATTCAGAACAGACATCTGTGGAACAGCATCTGGAAGGAAATATTATCAAGGCTGCCCCTGCCTGGCTGTCCTCAGAAATAGTCCCATTTCATCTCCCAGTAAATCTAGCAATATAAATGCTTGAAATGGTATGCACCATTTCCCTGTCCAAAATGAACTTGACTGGCTCTCTGAGAACAGTACTAGTGTGTCACCAAGATGTTGCCAGCAGAAAGGTTTAAACAATACTAGGTTGCTGTTTTCAGCAGTCATCAATCTGCAAGCTTGGTTCGAGCTTGACGCTGTTTCTGTACATGCACATGTGCACACACATTCTATGCTGAAAGGTGGGCCAGAGGAAAAAGCTAACTTGCCTGGTCAGCAAGTGGCAATGAAGTTTCGCACATGTGGGTATTTTACAAGTTCTCTTAGTCTTCTGCATAGTATATTTACCAGAGTTGTCTGATCTTCGTAAGAGTGTGGCTAAAGTTTCTTGACCTAGAATTCAAGAACCTTTATTAGAACTAAAATTTCACAAAATTATAAAAGCTTGTGTTTTTTCCAAACCATTGCCAGGCCCTAAAGTACAAAAAGCAGAGAAAGTGGAAGCGAAGTATGAAAGCTTGATCATGAGTCCTGCAGGACAGTCTCAAAAACAAAGTCTGAATTAGTCGCTGGTGTTGCAAGTATCAGATTATATGTCTTTTTTTTTTTGGCATAATGGAAGTATGGATAACTGCCACACAGCTGATATAAGTAGCACCTATTAGCAGATGAATTTGAACCTTGACATTGTCTTTACAATTTACAATACAGCACAAAGAATGACTACATGCATTATACATGGATAAACAGTTCTTTGCAAAGCTGAAAAAAAACTGCAAAGGAAGTGTTTTGTATTCTTTTGAACTAATGACAGTGTAACAGTCAATACTATTGGGCTTATTTGATTCAAGGCATTCATTCTGTTCCTATTGCATTCATTTACAGTAGAAGGAAACTAATTTCATCAGACCCAGTCAATTAAAATCCAGTTTCACCTTCCCACTGCATTAATTTAAGGTCTACATTTCAGGGACAGGCTTGTACTACTGAGTGCAAGATGGGACAATTTTGTTCAGAGGTTAAATGCTTTTTCCAATACAGTATATGATATTTTCCATCATGTGTTATTACTGCTCGGGTAGGTTTGACAATCGAAGTCAGCACTTTCCAAATCCTCCACTAAGGGTGCAATCCTTTGTAAGCTTAGAAACAGACATACAATTCCCAGCATGCCCTAACCAGTTACGTTGGGAGTTGCAGGCTTTGTATAAACCTGAACTTGCAGAGGATTGCGCATTCAGTCTCATTTAAAACTCTTTTCTTCGTTGGAAGCAAACCAAAGTACCACTCAGTTGTGTTTCCAGTGTTTCCGTGGACTCAAAACGCTTATAATCGCTAGCAAATTAGCCATCTCTTCCTCATGGCCCCACGTGCGTATGAAATAAGGCAATGTCTTCCATAGTTCGTCACTTGTGAACAGTTTCTCCACCGGGGGAATTGATGTGACGCGTGGAACGGCCCTCACTCTTTTGGAGGGGAAGCGCAAGAAAAAGGTGGCAAAATGGTCCGATTGACGTAAGCCCCCCCGCTCCCCGCGCCTTATGGTTTGAACTGGATTCGCAAGTCTGCTTCGAATGCGTCTTTGCCGGGAAGAGGCGACTCGTCTCGCCTTCGTGCTGCAACGAGCGATCCTGGGATGAGTCAGCAGCAAGCATGGCCGTGGCTCGATAGGCAAACCCGGCTCGAGATGGCCGGTAGCTCAAGCCTTGTTCGTAATTTCTGGGCAATGACTCCGTTTGCAACCCACCCGCTTCAGCAGAAAGCCTGCAAAGGGGATCGTGCGACACTTGGTGGCTCAAGAGCAGCCCTTCTGGGAGACTGGCGATCGGAAGAACGCAAGCCTGGGACGCACATACCCCCGCCCCACCCACGCACCCACGCACACACACCCACCCCTGGACAGACAGACTTGAAAAGGAAAGAGAGAGAGAGAGAGAGAGAGGTGGAGCGAAGCATGCCTTCCGGTGTAATTGGACATCTTAGAGGGGAAAACGAGCGACACACCCGCGTGCAAGGAAGTGCTGCCTGGGAGGCGGCGGGCGTAGGATGCGACGCACGTCCATTGCTCACGCTTCCTGCCCCGCCCTCCACCGCCTTTTTACTGGACTCCCAAACCTGATGAAGCGTTCTGGAGAACTTCGAAATTGTGCGCGTTTTTGTGGCATGGAGGTCGGTCTGAATAAAGGCATTGCCTGGCTTTGGATTGTGGACATTTGTTGTGATACCAGCTTTCCTGGATTACAGCCCATTCCATCAGATGTATTATCCAACATTACAGATTATATGTATACATGGCGGGGGGATGTATAGAATGAGGTCAGAGCAAAATGACATTACCTCACTGTTTCCAGTCCTCCACCTCCAACAATGTGTGTTGCCTGTTACTGTACTCCATGAAACTTACGCCATAATAACCCTCTTAGGGCTCAATTATATGCATGTTTTGACAGAAAAAAGTTTTCAAGCCCTGGCATTCTTCAGGCTTGTATTGCGTACCTGCACAGGGAAGGAGAAAGGTGTGGGCCTGAGGAGACCTGATCATTTGTGCATGCACAAACTTGCGCATGGTGCATGTGAAGTTCAGCAGAGCACAGAACTGTAGGAGCTGAGTGTGTAAGTGGAACACATGCTGCCACTGATAGCATTTACTCCCTTGGTGATTACGCATGTAAGCTGCTGGAGCTGGACTGAAAGATGTCATCTTCTTTGGCCTTGATCCCCCCAACTCAGGGAACGACTGATGAGGATGTAGCTTAACTGGGTTTCTTGGAGGGGGACACCCTGATGCAATCTTTCCCATCCGCAGAGGAGTCGCAGCTACAGAATAAGCAAATGATCAACAGCTCTTGAAAGGGGATGCGGCTAGCACTGCTAGTCCAGAACATTCCATCTTCATAAAGCCCCAGAGAGATAACAGTTCTTCCTATGTGCATTCCAGCCAGCCTAGATTTGTCTAGGTGGGTTCTGAGAGACTCAGCTTGGCCAGGACTTGCCTTGTGATCTTGCACAGACTAACTTGACTCTGCTTTCTTGGATATAGTCCAGCCCTTCAAGAAAGTGCCATTGCTCAATATTGGCCCCTGGGAACCTTGCACTAAATTTAGCTTAGTGACTAAGCTAAATGAAGCAGGAGTTTGTAGGAGTTAGGACACAGGCGAAGGACTGCTTCAGTGGACAGGCTGTGGCTGCCTAAAGCTTATCATGTAAAAAACCATGAGTAAGAATGCTAATTGAATTATTAAAGTGGTACTTTGAGCAAGGGCTTGGATCTTATTAGCCTGATGAGAGAGTGAGACAGCTGCTTTGAGAAGAAGGTTGGGGACAGGATGAGCAGAAGTTGTATATGCCTTGCAGTCTGCCTTGCAGTCTGCTGTAGCAGCAGATGTTCCTCTGTTGACTACTGTTGAAGTAACTTTTAAGCGGGTGTTTGCTCAGCTTCTCTACATGGAACATGGTGAGCTGCTGATACCATTTTTATTTTATTCTTGCTCAGAGAGCAAAGTATCTTGGGCTGGCCCTTCCTGCCTAGACAGGCTTATAGGGAAGTAATCATATTTGCTATTATAGGAAGCACTTGAAGGGCATTAAAAACATCATCACCACATTTTCCCACGTAAGACCTGAGTTTGAATGCAGGTGACCACCTGGCTTTGTTTCAACTTTTGGGGAAGATGGGAAAGGATGCTGCTAAATTAGTGCAACGAGAAACTCTGAGTTTCCTCCTCCGCCTTCCATCAGCAGCCACTGCCGCTTCTACCACTCCGGAGACAGATGGCTAAGTCATCAAAAATAACCAGGCAATGTAGTCTGCACACAAAAGAACTGCTTCTCTATATTTTCTTGAGTGTTCTGAGGCCTATCGCGCGGGGTGAGGAAGCAAATTGCGCAGGCTGCAGCAGGACTGACACACTGCTTTCTCATTGGCTCTTTGCGTCCCCCTTACGCCCTCATTCTAGCCAATCATCATCGACTGTTTCCCTAAAACCTAAAGAGGGTTGGAAAGTATACTCACTCACGGTGAGCACCCCGTTAGACAAAACAGGTGCTGCCTCTCCGATCCGGGGAGGCTTTTTTCCATCTACGCACCGAGTCCGCTTCCCTTTTCTTCCTTTCAGTCCGCTAAGTAAGTCCTAGCAGCAGCGTCAGGAGGAGGAAAGCCCCCTCCCCTGCCCGTGGTAGCTAAGTAGCGGGGTGGGATGCGGTTGT